CAGCACCTGTTTGATGCAGTTTTTTATCTTCTACCTATTGCACTGTTGTGACTTGTTGGCCATTATTTGATTTTTGTACGAAAAGAAAGCTTTGTTATAGAAATCAGCATAATATTTTTTTAAACCTGGAGAGAAGATACTATGGTGACTGAAAATATGATCAGGTGTCAAATATAAATGTATAAAAGCCTTCTTGCTGTCCTGTTGGTCATATTACATTCATTTTATATTTGCTGGCAATATTGGAGGTTTCTTTTTGTGTAAACTCTAATTTCTATCAAGGTATCATGGATTTTTAAAATTTAGTATTTCATTACAGTTGTCTCAGTGTTGATTAACTAATTTTTGCCAGGACCATTATTGATCAAGCAAATAAATTCAACAGCCATTTGAGAAAAAAATGCTTTTCATTTTTTTGTATACATTTTTTCTTTGAAATAATTGAGTAGGTTATGGCTGTCAAGGAGTTGGTTTGATATTTCTTTAAGGTCCTAGAGTGAAAAAAAGGTTCTCACACACATTGTGTTCCTTACCCAGTTACTTGGTCACAAATGGAAGCAGCAGCTCTCTAATAAAGATGGTTAGCCAAACGGAACAGTGGGGCAGCTGGAGCAGGCAGCTACACTCATCCTATGTGTGACCCTGTACCTGGCTGGCCCTCGCTGCTTCTCGGCACCTGCAGGAAAGCTGCCACTGGATGTTCCTAGGCTTTGGGCTCAGCAGCTGGTGCTGCCATCCCAGCTCCCAGGTGAGTGAAATGCACATTATTTGAGAGGCGCCATCCTAACCAATATTTTACTGTAGATATTTAAAGACCAAAACAAAAAACACAGAAAAATCTCAGAATGACCACGTAAGATAGGTGGCAGCCCTACAATGTGACACATGCACACACCACACTCCACTGTTCCTATTCTCATTCTGCCTGAGCCCCTGAGAACTTTCTCGTGGACTGGGAGGGGTCAGCTCGTACTCTGGCATCATTAGTAGTTAAATGGCAGTTGCTGTGGCCTCTGGGAAACGGAGGAGTAAGCTAATTGAGTCCCTCTAAGAAGCCTCTCCCCTTCATTTCTGCTCTTCCTCAGGTTGGCCTAGGAAATGTTCCCTACACAACTTCTTTCCTCAAATTTTTGTGCCCAAACTTGTACTTTCTCAGACTAACACTGAAATACCTGATAACAGAGCCACGGGGGTTGGAGCATGACATTCCCCAAGGCTGCATGACAGATTGACTCATTCCTATCTCAAAACACTGCCCAATAGATGTTTTGTATCCAATTAATAACAGCTATTGGTATCATTAACAGTGAACACAGCTGACCAGAGGAACAAGACACTGTGTTAGCCACAACAATCAGGCAAAAGAAAGAAAAGCCATCCAAATTGGAAAGAGAGAAAATTCACTATTTGCAGATTACATGATTCTACATAATAGGAAACCCTAAAGACTCCACCAAAGACTTTTAAAAACAAACAGCAAAGTTGTAGGATACAAAATCAATGTACAAAAATTCTTTGTGTTCTATACTACCAATGAAACATCAGAAAGAAAAATGAAGAAAATCCAATTTAGAATTGCATCAAAAATGATAGCATACCTATAATAAACTTAAGGGAAGTGAAGGCGAGACCTACCTGTATACTGAAAACTACAAGATGATGTTTAAAGAAAGTGAAGACACAAGGAAATGTAAAGATGTTCTGTGTTCATAGGTTGGTGGTGTTGAAATGGTCTTATTATATAAAAAACAATTTACAAATTTAATGCAATCCCATCAATATGGCGTTTTTCACAGAAATATAACCAAAAAATCTTCAAATTTCTATGGAATCTCAAATAGCTCTGAATAACCAAAGCAACATTGAAGAAAAAAAGCAAAGCTAGAGGTATCATACTCCCTGGCTTCAAACTATTTTATGAAGCTACAGTAATAAAAACAGTATGGTTTTGGCAGAAAAAGACACCAATAAGAACAGAATTGCCCAAACCACACATACTAGAATATGCCAACTATATAAGGAGCCAAAAACATACACTGGAAAAAGGAAAGTTTCTTCAATAAATGGTGTTGGGAAAACTAGAAAGTCACATGCAAAAGAAGAAAATTAGATGCTAGTACTATACACAAAAATTAATTCAAAATGGATTAAAGATTTCACATAAGACCTGAAACAAAACACACAGAAGAAGACATAGGCACTAAACCCGAGGGGTTTTTGTGAACTCCAAAGGCAAGGGAAGTAAAAGCAAAAATAAATGAATAGGACTACATCAAACTAACATACCTCCAATATGGGGCTAATATCCTAAATACATAAAGAACTCAACAACAACAAACCAACTATGGCTTGGTTGGAGTGTCCAATTAAAAAATGGGCAGAGGATTTGAATTAGACATTTTCCCTAGGATATGAAAATAAGCTCATCATTAATCAAGAGAAATACAAATAAAGATCACATGAGATATTACATCACACTTGTTAGAATGGCTGTTATCAATAAGACCAATAATAAGTACTGGAGAGGATGTAAGGAAAAGGGAATCTTTATACACTGCTGGTAGGAATGTAAATTGGTGCAGTCACTATAGAAAACAGTATGGTGCCGAAACCGGTTTGGCTCAGTGGATAGAGCGTCGGCCTGCGGACTGAAGGGTCCCAGGTTCGATTCCGGTCAGGGGCATGTACCTGGGTTGCAGGCACAGCCCCAGTAGGAGATGTGCAGGAGGCAGCTGATCGATGTTTCTCTCTCATCGATGTTTCTAACTCTCTATCTCTCTCCCTTCCTCTCTGTGAAAAATCAATAAAATATATTTAAAAAAAAAAAATAGAAAACAGTATGGAGTTTCCTCAAAAATTAAAAATATAAGCTACTGCCCTGGCAGTGTGACTCAGTTGGGCATCATCCAGTGCACCAAAAGTTTGCTAATTTGATTCCTAGTCAGGGCACTTGTCTGGATTGTCCGGGTTGTGGGCTAGATCCCTGGTAGGGGGTGTGCAGGAAGCAGCTAAGCAATGTTTCACTCTCACATGAATGTTTCTCCCTCTCTAAAAATCAATTTTAAAAATCTTTTAAAAAAGTGTGTGTGTATGTATATACACATACATACATATTCATACACTACTTTATGACCCAGTAATCCCTCTTCCTGGTTATCTACCCACAAAAATTGAAAACACTTATTTATAAAGATGTATGTACACTTATGTTCATTGCAGCAATATTCACAATAGCCAAAACATGGAAACAACCTGTGTCTGACAGATGATTGAATAAAGATGTGGTACCATATATACAATGGAATACTACTCAGCTATAAAAAAGGTAAAATATTGCCAATTGGGACAATATGGATGGATCTTCAGAGTATCATGCTAAGTGAAAGTAAGTCAGAAAAGGACAATTGTATGATTTCACTCATGTGGGATATTAAAAATAAAAGCAACAAATGAACAAAAACTCAGATTGAACAGAATGGCAGAGGGGTGGAGGGAGGAAGATGAGGGTAAGCAGGATCAAATAGTGATGGAAAGAGACTTGGGATGGTGAGCACACAATAGAGTAGTCAGATGTCATAACGTTATACACCTGAAACAATGTTATTAACCAACTCTACCCCAATCAAAAAACAACAAAAAGACACCTAATCAGTACGAAAGAGTCTTATGGTAAAATCAGCTAAAATTACCAAGTAAAAGCTCCAAATAACAAATCTTGCCAAATTTAAATCAACAAAACCTAAAAAATAAATACAATAGTACTGTAAAATGTCAAAGGATAAAATCTAATAACTGAATGGAATATTTGTCAAGTTTTCAAGGAAAAGAATTCCTAAGGAAAATAATTTCTGTAGGATAAAACTAAAAATAGTTTATTCTCTATAGAAAATGGATTCAGGAATTAAATTGGCTTAATGGGCCCTGACCAGTGATGCTTAGTTGGTTGGAGTGTCGTTGGGGCACTTACCCAGGTTGCGGGTCTGATCCCTTGTAGGAATGCATACGGGAGGCAATCAATGTTTCTCTCCCTCCCTCCCTCCCTCTAAAATCAGTATCCTTGGGTGATGATTAAAAATAAAAATTGGCTTAATGGAATTCAGAAAATTCCTTCATCAAAAACATGTTACTGTTGCAATTTTTTTTTTTTAATCCTCACCTGAGGACATGTTTAGAGAGAGGGAGGGAAGAAAGGAGGGAGGGGGAGGGGGGGCATCGAAGTGAGAAACATTGATTAGTTGCTTTTTAAAAAAAATATGTATTTCTTTATTGATTTCAGAGAGGAAGGGAGAAGGAGAGAGAGAAACATCAATGATGAGAGAGAATCATTGATCAGCTACCTCCTCCATGGCCCCCACTGGGCATCAAGCCCGAAACCTAGGCATATGCCCTTGGCCGGAATCGAACCTGGGACCCTTCAATCCGCAGGCTGGCACTCTATCCACTCAGCCAAGCCGGCCAGGGCTGATTAGTTGCTTTCTGTATATGCCCTGACTGGGGCTCGAACCTGAAACCCAGGTATGTGAACTGACAAATTTGAGTAGTCAACTTTCTGGTACACAGGATGACACAACCAACTGAGCCACTCTGGCTGGGCTGTTGGAATTTTTGTAAGGTCAAAATATTCCTACTCAAGGGATCACAAAACTACTGTTTGGAATTGTTGATGGAGGATCTGAAAGTTGGGTCTCCTTCCCCACTCTCCCCTAAAATGCCAACTGGTTTTCTAGTGAGAAGGAAATACTACAAGAACTTGTAGGCCCTGTCATGGGGCCTGGCCACTCTCCATGTGGGTCCCACAGTGTGTCCATCCATGGGCTTAGTGCGAGGCGCATTTGGGTGCAATGAGCCCAGCCAGCCTTCTTCCCACTCCTCCCATTGGTGCCTCTCTCTTGTGGCCAGCTCCTCCCAGTGGCCCTACTAGATGTTCTACATCCAGCATAAGTTTATAAAAGCTTATAGCAGAAATTCAAAAATACAACAGAAACCACAGTCTTGCTTACAATTATTTCAGGCTCAACTTCGTTCCCTCTGGTTTGAGAGGATTATTCATCTTAAAGAGGCCATCTGCTTGGTTGAGTTGGGTCCTTCTTTTCCTCCCTTTCGTTCACTGCTTCTCCGTCTCCTGGAATGTACAGAAATGTTACCATACACGGGAAAGATAATGTGTCCTGGAGCCTGGCACACAGTGCTCTTTCCTATACATAGAAGGTCAGTTTTAAGCCGTGCCACCCCCTTCTCGCAGCTCCCGCCTGCCCTGAGATGCATGTGCGCAGCATTGCTCCCCAACGCCCCCCAAATACACTACCACACATGGCTGGTGTTTCAAGCATTCCACGTTCCTCTGTAACGCTGACGCTGGAGGGGACGTGAGATTCTGGACGTTTCCTCTGGTATATTCAGCTTGCAGTGTGCAGGGAGCTTCTCTTCCAGATAGAAAGTGGGACCTGGACCAAGGAGTCTGAGAATAGTCAGTACCCACAGTGCACCCTGTGCCTGCCCAGCAGACTAAGCATCACCCAGAGGAATGTTCCCTGACGAGATGCCGGCAGCCTGGGCAGCTCTTAGGGCATTAACAAGGTGGCGCTCTCAGGAACTCAGCACTTGCCCAGTTCAGTCAGAGGACTTTAGAAAACTGACAGTTGGCCCGGCCAGTGTCGCTCAGTGATTGAGCATTACCCCATGTATCAAGAGGTCACTGGTTCGACTCCTGGTCAGGGCACATGCCCAAGTTGGGCTCGATCCCTGGTGGGGGCATGCAGGAGGCAGCCGATAGATCTTCATGTTTCTCCCTCCCTCTTTCTTCCCCTCTCTAAAAATCAGTAAAAACTTATAAAAACAACAACTCAACAGTGGTCTGGCTCACAGAAATACCCCCAAGACTTGGCAAAAAGGTGACACTCAAGCCACTCCACCCAGCAAAGAGGAAGTCTGCTGGTTTAGTGAGGGATACTCTGAAAGCTCACAAAACTTTCTCCCAGACAAGAGGAAGGGCAGCAGACATCACCCAGTGTGCCATGACCTAGGAGTCAGGCAGGGTGGAGAGACAGGGACCTGTGTGGTTGAGACACCTGGCAATGGGCTGAGAAAAATGTAGTTTTCCTCTTCACCTTGGTTATTCAAAAGTCCTGAGATACCAGAATATCTTCTGAGATCAGCCACCAGTGTTAAGTCCCTCCAAGGACAGAATTATTGCCACTCTATTCATTTATCTATTGTGAAGTTAATAGTTTGAGTATGAATTCTTTTGCAGTTTTGTTTTTGCTTCCGGGAGGATTTCGAAGAACTGCTGAATCATTAATTTTTTAGCTTTGCTTGCTTGCTTTTATAACTGCCTCTGGAAGCCCATTTTTTCCCCCTTGGAAGATCCTGTGCAACAAAGACTCCAGGATTTGGCTGCCATTGACCTAACACACCTGATGAGAGACAAGACACACCTCGACCAGCCCCAGGGAGCACAGCGCTCAGAATGCCTCTGCCACCTGCCAAACGTGGAACCCAGCCCAGGGGGCATGAGCCGATTTCAAAGAAATTACTAAACTAGTTAAAAGACATATGTTTAATCTAGTTTTCCCATTTTATACTAAATCATTAATACAGGTCACAAATTGCATTTATTCGCAGACATCTATAAAACAATCAAAACTGTATATATCTCTCTATACAGATCTTAATAAATTTTATTTGGACAAGAGAACTTGTGCCACAACAGTTTTAAACAGCATGATTAAAGACTGAAGCACTCCTAAGAGTGTCACAGGTATGTACAGTATGGGAAGGAAAAGATGCACCTCAGGGCTGATCATGATCCAGTTAAAAACACCTGACACACAGTATACGTGCTAATATATGTCATTCAGGTCATGACCAGCATGAAAAAATTCAGGACATAGATAACTCGGCACACGTAAATGTGTACAGCAATATGCTGCATTTATGAGTTAAAATCATAGTCTACTTTAGTGTTAGCATCAAGCCCTTATGAGAAATTAAAAAATCTCCTTTCCCATTAACACACGTCAAAAACTATTCACACTTAGGGCTGGACTGGGCGGCTAGCCACAGGCGCACAGGTCCTTGCCTGTGTGGAAACAGTGAGGCTAATACTGAAGGTCTCTCTCGTGTCCTGGCTCACAGCCGCCGTCTGGCTATAATTCCATCTATCGGTCATTAAATAAAACCAGGGGAAGAAACGCAGGTCTCTGGGAATCTCGTCCCTTCCATAAGGAAAATGCTCTGCAATTCAAGTTTCATTCAGTCAGGAAGACAGAAGGATTTAAGGCTTCGGTGACAATTACAATCCTCTGAGAAATTATTTTCCCTTAAAGTCAAGATAAGATAATAGTGTTTACTGTACTTTCTCTTGACTCTTAAAATCCCTGGTGTCGGTGTAAGCAACTTGCATCTGCAATTAAGTCTGCAAGAGAGGAAGGTCTCTCTTCATCCTCAAAGTGTCCAGCTCACACGCGTGTGGAGCACGTGTCGAACCTCGGCTTCCTAGGAAGCGGGAAAGACACCGAGGCTGAAGCTTTCTAGTAGGTTGAGGAAGCTGTGCTCATAGCATCTTCAGAAATTTTGGTGCTGGCAGGGTGGATGCTTGCAAAGTACTTGACGTCACTGTCATGATCCATCTGAAGAGCCATGATGGTTTGTTCCACAGCTTCCTGGTGACAGCTGGCCGAGGTTAGGAAATAATCTGGAAACAAATGCAGATTGCAAACAAAATCAGTCTAACTTTCAGTTTTGTTAAGCACAAGTATACAAAGTACTTAGTCATTATAAAACAGGATTTTCTACAAGTATAAACACAAGCTATATTGAATTATAAACAGTAATCCAAATTGATTTTATATAAAAAAATCCCCAAGCGTAAGAGAATTATCAGATATAATTTGACTAAATCTCATGTCTCATGATGTTCAATGGCAGCGAAGCTAATAAATATATTAAAAACTTATGTGTTATAGCTATTAATTAGCTCAGTAAAAGGAACACTTCCAAAATTCCAAACATATACTGAAAACCAGTCTTCTTTAGCTGTTTTATTGTAATTGCTATTTTAAAAAATTAAATGAATTCCAAAGGAGAAAAAAGAAATATTAATTCACCCATATTCTTTGAAGTCTATTAAAAACGTCTTTCTATGATTCATTCATGAGTTCATGCATTCAAATATTTATGAGACATTTTGGGGGATTGTAACAAATAAAACAACCTGAATCTCAAGGAGTTATAATTTGCATCAAAGCAAATAATACGGGGCATATGTCTTCTGCGTAAGAATGAAAATGAGGAGGAAACACAAACATGCCTCCTGGGCCCCAAACAACATAACAGATGTCAAGAGGGTGGGGGTGGGGCTCCAAGGGCAGTGATTTTTCAGTCATAAGTGAACGTGCAATATTCAAACTAGTAAGTTTTAAATTATAAAAAGTTCACTAGCAGGGCAATAATTAAAGGTCCCTTTCGTCGCCCTTATCTGTTCACATAGTCTATGAATCTCCTCCCCACCACAGACACTTTTCCTAAGAGTCGTGTACCCACCTTTTTCTAGTAGAGTTTGTCGTAGTGTCTTCGCAAGGAGCACTCTAACATTTGGAACCCTATCGTTTGCTAAGGTTAGCAAATGTGGCATCAGATGCACAGCAAACTGTTCCATGGGAAGGCAATCATCTTCAATGACAGTCTGGGGAAAGGAAGTAACTGCTTTAGAGTTGCAAATTTAGTATACTTAAGCCATAATACTAGCTAAGAAAAGTCTTTTAATAACAATATAATTGCTACAGATTTTAAACCAATATTCCAGGCACTTGGGAACTCAAAACAAAAATGACATAATTAAGCCCCCACTGAGACGGTTTTTAAACTGCTCCACAGACCTGGAGGGTTCTCGGTCACATTCATTCTCACACCGTGCCCTGCTCCACAGACCCCGAGTGCCCTCTTGGGGACAGCTTTACAAAGAGCTCGGCGGACTTTATAAATGATTGGTGAACCAGGCAGATACCCAACTGAGGAACAGGGGATTCTATAAACAGCCAGGTGGCAAAGTTCTGCCCTTCAAGAATAAAGAGGGTATTGAGAGAGATAACGAGTAAAAGAATAAAACCTAGTTCTAGATAAAAAAAAAATGTGTCACAAATGGCTGAGTCTTTGCTTACCTGGCAGACAAAGACAAAGGCTTGACGACCAGACCACTTGGGACATCTACCAAAATTTTCTACAAGCTCATGGATGAGGTCCACACCAAATGTTGGTGGTGTCGCCATGTGCAGCTTCTTCACCATCTCACTGACCTAGGAGAGTGAACATGGAGAAGTGAGGAATATCTTCGTTTTATGATCTTATTAAATACTTTGCTGACCTAAAATTGTAAAAATCTTAAAACATACCAACTTGTAGGAAATCCAACGAACAGAAGAAACTTTATCTGCACATAGATTCAGAGCAATGGGGCGTAAATAATCATAAACATCTCTGGCACTGTATAACTCTAGGAGTAAGATCAGCTGTCTACAAAAGTGAGTTATAAAAATACAGTTACAATTTTAAAACAAGACAAATGAAAACAGGTTGATCATCTGAATAATTTGTAATACTGGATATTATTTGTAAGATGGACACAGGCAAAGACTAGTAATTAACCTGGTTTCTCATGCAGAGCATCACCTCCCGTCTCTGTATGGCTGTGTCTGCAAAGCATTCCCTAGTATGTTCAATTGGAACACAAAACACATTTTTCTCATAGTAACTGTTTAGAATGTGCTGAGAAACCTCCATCTACAATCAATTATGTAAATAAGAGAGTTCTAACCCAGCTAGCTTGGCTCAGTGGTTGAGGGATGACCTATGAACCAGGAGGTCAAGGTTCAATTCCCGGTCAGGGTACAAGCCTGGATTGGGGGCTCGATCCCCAGTGTGGGATGTGCAGGAGGCAGCCGATCAATGATTCTCTCTCATCATTGATGTTTCTCTCTCTCTACCTCTCCCTTCCTCTCTGAAAATAAAAAAATATTTTTAAAAAAGTTTTGTTTGTAAATAAATAAATAAATAAATAAATAAGTAAATAAATGAGAGTTCTAGCAGTGTACTTACTTATTAAGTACAGCTTCTGAGGCAATGATACATTTACTAGGGATAACATAGTAAGTGGTCCTCTACCCACTTTCCCATTACGTCTGATGGGAACTAAAGACTAGCAGCATTCACCAGGCTAATTTGAGTAGATGCAATAATGCTCATGAAGAAATAACTTGAATATGAATAAGAATTTTGCCTTTCAGATTTTATGTTTAATATTATTTACATTTGTAATCAACAGGAAGTGAATTGTGGTCATGGTTTCAGTAGCCAGATGTCAATCATGGTCCAAAAATATTAAATGGAAAATTCCAGGATTAAGGAAACCATAAGTTTTAAATTGCACACCGTTCTGAGTAGTGTGATGAAACCTCGAGCCATCCTATTCCTGCCTGCCTGGGACTGAATCATCCCTTTGTCAGCGTCTCCACACTGCACACCCTGCCCACCTGTTGGTCACTTAGTAGCTGATTCTCACACTGCCTGCTGAGGCATCACAGAGCCTGTTGTGTCCAAGTGACCCTAACTTTATTACTGGTCCCAAAGCACAAGAGTAGTGATGCTGGCAAATCGGATATGCCAAGGAGAAGCTGTTAAGTGCTTCCTTTAAGTGAAAGAGTGAAAGTTCTTGAT